ATCTGCATATTTGTACTCAGAGCTTCAACCCAGCGGTGTCAGGAAGGCATTGTTGGTCCAACACTGTTTAATAACTAATACCTTTTCAGTTACTGAAGATAGAGAGAGATATAGATATATAGAGATAATACAAAAGCCAACAGAAAGGTTAAAGGAAGAAGTTTTATCAAAATGTTGTTTTAAGCCACTAATTGTTGGTGATATGGCTAATGATAGCAATGTTGGTAAAATAATCTGTGTGAAATATCTCCACAGATATTTGATGACATTTATGGCCCAGGGAGATTAAAACAATCCTTTTGAAGAGTTCCTGACTTCAGACAGCCGCCAACAGTAGGTCAACTTGCTACCATGCTAACATGTTAAAGCTAAATGTCCCATGTTAAAGATTAGCACGTAAACTAGCTAACTTTAGCTTCTCCCGCTAAGATGCTAGCAGCTTTAGATTAAAGAACAGTTTAGACAATGCCAGAGTATAGTAAATATTATCAATAATATTTAATAATATCTTCCTAATATTAATTAATTTCATGACAAATGTATTCAAAATAATAAATACATCCAATTGACATTCTGTGTAATTACTAGTTCTAATTATACACAAACAATAAACAATTGTACATAAACAATATCTGAATGAACATTAATGTTAAACATATTATGACTAAATAATACCACTGAAAACATGACAATATAAACACAATGAATTATGTTATTATCTGGGTGATAATGTAGGCTAACTACAGCTCACAGTGACAGAAACATTCAGATTAAACCCTTTTGATTTGTGTAACAACATGACCTTTATTCTGGTGATCTGAGAATAGAAAAGTTGTCTTTATATCATATTTTTTATGTGCATTCAGTAGTTTCACTCTGTGATTTTTAATGAATGAGCAATGCAGCCTGGAGCGGTTGCTAGCGTGGATATACAAACCTAAAGTCATTTTTATTGCTTTTCCATTATTTTGACATCAATTTATGATCGCTGGTCTAGGGATGGGTAAGATATTCATTTCATTTAATTTAACTCAGGACGATGATCACACATATATATATAACCAGGAGCATAAACATAAACAGTGACTGAAATGTGTCCATAGAGTATAAAAAACTGATTCATAGTCTTAATTCTATTCTTTTATCAGAAATTTAAATCATGATTTTGCTAGTATTTATTCAGGCAAAGTTCCCGTATGGCTGCCTTTGTTCAGAAAACATTTAACATAAAAAACATGTTTATATTCCTGAAACGGATTGGAAGAAAATATTGTTTTGCAGTTGGTACTTTCTTTATCAATCAATCATTTAACGTGTAAAATGTGATTTTTTTTCCTAAAGTCTTAAAGGAATGTTTTGTTCAAACAACAATACAAAAATTATTTATTCATTCATTTATTATCACATAAGGTGGATATTTTCACTCGAACCATTAATCTATTATGAATATAATGCAATTGTTCAAATGCATTATTTCTTCTCTAGTTCTACAGCGTGACTTTGTGAGGCCAAACAGTGCCATCTCACATGCAATCTGTCTCTCACAAGTGCACCCACATGCCCGTTAACAAAGTGTAACTCAGTGTGTTGACATAACAGATAATCATCCTTTTCTCCAACTCCTCCTTCCCTACACCTCCTCTTTCACCTTCTCTATGACAGTTGTTCTCGCCAGTTGGCGCCTGTGTGGCTCTCCTCAGCATGCAGACGACACCAGGACTGTGTTCTTCTTCCACAGCCAGAGGGGATTCAGTTTCTCCAGTAACTACTCCAGCCCATAACCCGAGGCTAAACTAAGGAAGGTGTACAGTCCTGAAGTAGACGTAGGGTCACAGCATGTGTTTTTTTGTTTTTTTATGCCTGCAGTGAGCCAAACCTGGGTCAAGAGTAGGGAGATCTGAAGGAGAGGAAAGGATGGTGATGGGTCCACCTGAAGCCCTTTGGGTGCTGCAGCTGCTGTTTACTTTCTCCTCATGTAAGGTAGGATGACACTGTGCCCACAAGTCCAACTGCCAATCGCTGTGTTGGAACATAGACTCTGTCATGCAAGCCAAAATTTGTGCAGCGTTTCAACTTTACATCAGATGTCTAGGGATAAAGTTGACTTTTCTTTTGTCCTGTGGAGAGATGAAGTTGTCTCTTTTTTTGTCCGGTGACTCTAAAATGTGTGCTGGATTTCGAAGCATAAAAGTGAAGTTCAGGATAGTAATACATACTTTGGCAAATAGTGGAGAAGTTTGTTTTGACTCTTTCAATTCCCATAATTATTTGTTATTTGTTATTTTATATTTGTTTGCATGTGAAATGTATCTAAATCTCCCTGAAATGTATCTAAATCTCCCAAAACACGTCTTGTTGGAAATTTGCATTTGCTTTAACCTCGGATCTTTCTGCACCTTTTCCAGCCTGTGTCTAAAGAACTAAAATGCTTCATGGATTGACAGCATTAAAAGGACTAGATAAATATAATATTGGCTGCCAGAGGAGTTCTTGCCAGCATCTTCAGAGTCCTCCTTCCAGTTACTCCTAAATTCACAGTATTATATATTTATTTTACTGCATTTTGTACTCAAAGACATCTCTGTCATATTCATCTTGAATTGGTTTTAATGTGTCTTTTTTTGGCTCATTGTTTTGGCTGATTATTTTGGGCTTCAGTCTTTTTCTTATCTATTGTTCTCTGATGTATTTTGCAACTTTACTTTGCCCTTTGGTTCTATAAAAAACACATTATTATATATTTTCTACAAATGCAAAGAGCTACCTGAGTCACTGACCATAAATACCCTGAAGGCGTGTCACACTGCTCAGTTGTCATGTCGGCTTTATTGTGCCCCTCCATCTCCCGATGACTGTGTCACCCCTAAGTGCTGCTGATTGAAATATTCATGTTAGTTCAGCATATTCGCTGAAGGGCGTTTTATGTATAATCCATGTGTATCCTGGGGGCTCTTTACTAAGACAAGAAAGCCTGAGCATGTAACTGCTGATGAGAACAAAGGCACAATAAAACATTTAGTGTTGGTTAGTTAAATTGTCGACACATAATTGCTCCAGGCGTGAACCACAGTGAACAGTGTCTTTTTGTAGTTGTATTGCAGTAAAAACACGCTCATCTTGTTATACTACCATGATAAGCTCTCACTTATCAGCCATAGGCACTAATGTTCTGTAGGGAGTCTTTTACACCCCAGGCCCTCTTTAACAATTAAACAAACATGCTTAATATTGTTTCATCAGCTTGATACTTCATAACTTTTCCTAATTTGATGAGAAATTCTTATGAACATAATTTTGAATTGATGTCAAGCTGCAGAATGACTTCTGTTTTGTGTCTGTAGCTGTAAAACATAATTAAATTAAATGGATGTTATCCAGCACTACCCCTCTGAAAATCTGAAAGTCTATTTGGATTATATATGTATATATATATATATGAGAGCTATAGCCCACATAGCATATGAATTATTTAATATTACCTTAATATTAGCAACGCTTTATTGTTATTTATGTATTTTGTCACCTTCATCAAATGTGCAAGCCCAGTTTATGTCAAAGGGAATAGTTATCACTTCAATACTTTTCTACACATTTGGTTTGGTCAGAACAAAAGAAACAATTTATTCAGAAGAGTTCAGAGGACCTTGGTTAGTTTTGCAGTTAATATTTTTATTTTTACACATACAGAAGTGTGGAAGCAAATCCAAAGTCATCCAAAATCCACAAAGCACAAGACATACTTTAGTTTCAGAGGTGCTGATTGTTTAGATTTTTTCTTACATTTTGGAGGGCTCACAATTATTTTCATTATAATTTACCAGTTATTTAATCAATTAATCATTTGGTTATAAAAAGACAAGACAAAGAAAGACAGCAAATCATCATAATGGAGAAGCTGGAATCAGAGAATGGGCATTTTTGGTTGAAAAATGACTTAAAGATTGATTTTTCTGTCTCTCAACTAATCAATAAATCGTAAATTGTTTCAGCTATTCAGAACAGTCAGTATGCGGACTAAAAACCTTTGATAAGCTCCACGGAAGAATCTGTCTCTTATTGTACAATTTAATAGGCAGTGTAATTACAGTTGCAGTTTGATGCATCGGTACACACACTGTGTAATTTCTTGATAGTATAAGAAGTATATAAATCTTCGTATACTAACTGCATAAACAGTATACTAAGAAAATGAGTATATATAATAATAGTATATGTTGTATACACAATATTTATTATTGAATTAGGACATACTTCTACTACTTCTCTGTTGTAGATTTATCAACTAGCTCCTTTTCATCTGCAGTACCTGGGCAGGACACAAACACTACAAAAAATACAATATTGACACATTGGCAGGATGTTATTTTGGGAGTTTGTTGCTTCCCCAGAAACTCTGGAGACACAGATCAAATAAAACATCATCTGAACATTGTGTACTTCATCTCAAGTTTTCTTCAAATCTAGTGTGAAACAGCTTGCATACTGAGTTTGAGGTTGGGAGGAACCGCCGGCCACATGGTGGCAGTGTTGCATCAGTTTGCAAGACACGTGAAGCACAAATACACACACACACACAAAGACCAGGGACAGGTCAATCCAGAGCATTGTGCTTTCATGTAGGCGTTTGCATTTAATCAATATTAAGGGAAGTATGAGGAAATGTATGGAGAGGAAAAGAAATCAATTTTTTCAATAACAATGAAAAGGGAAAATGAGAGGAGAGGAAAATGAGGAGAAAGGGGGAAAAAGACTACAAAAGCGAGAAAAGAGGACAAATGTTTGGTGAGATTTTGTTATCTCACTTCATATTTTTACATTATCCATTTGTTAATTTAAGCAGATATTCAAGAGGAGAATTTGCTCATGTGATGAATGAGTTGAGAGAATAGGTGAGAGCATGAGTGAGAGGGAGAGATGGAGGAGTGTGTCTGAGAGAGAGAGAGAGGGAGGGAGGGAGGGAGAGGCAGAGAGTTAGTGGATAAATGAGGGGAGCAGCGCTGGCTCAGCCACAGCGTCTTACTGCCAGGCAAAGGAAGGAGTCCAGGAAACACACAGACACACACACACACACACACACACACAGCTCAGTAGGATCTAAGCAGCTGTTTCCAGGAGCATCTCCTGCAGCCTGAGCCGAGCGTTGGATGTTTGGACTTGATGCATCTTCACATGGCGGCATCTGGAGTGGCTTGTGATCCAGGATTTATTCTCTAACCTGTGGCAGTGTAGGAGCGGAGACTCAAGCAGTGGGACGATCCCGGGCTGTGGTTTTATCACCAAACACTGACTTTGGATTGTAGATCTGAAAAGTCTTGAGCTTGTACACAAGATTTTACCTGTAACATCATGTTGTGTACCTGCTGGTTTTAGCATGACTGCTGTCAACAGTTTGGACTGTGTGTGAGAGCCAGCCAGTGTTTCTGTTTGTGTGTGTGTGGTGTGTGGATGTGTGCGTGTCAGGATGAGTGTTCCCATGTTGAAGATTGGCGCGGTGCTCAGCACCATGGCTATGGTAACTAACTGGATGTCCCAGACTCTGCCGTCGCTGGTCGGACTCAATGGAACCATCATCTCCTCTGAGGGCACACATGAGCGTATCGTCAGTGTATGTATTCTGTATATACACACTATATACGCACACACAAACACACTGTATGAAGAGTTATTATTCTAAAGCAAAAGAATTAGCTGTTTTGTCACCAGAAGTTCATCTTTCAAATTCTTTAAAATTTGTAGGAGTCAATCAGTTTAACAGCACAGAAGATTTTTTTGTCAAACAGCAGCTGAAGTTATTTTTCTCTTTCGGTGTGCACTCACATGCATCCATCAGCTGTTTCATACACATGAACACACACTCTCTGTACATAAAACTGCATAGTGTAAGCTCTCTAATTTGAATAAATTTTTAATTTGATGAAGAGAAATTGCTACAAACAATGTCTATCTAGAATTACAGGAATGAATCCTCCACGCAGCAGATATTTGATCTGTTCATTGGTGCAGAAAATAGAGGCAAAAGAAACAAAAAAGAGAGTGAAAATAGAGCACAGCGTGTTGCAAATATGAAGAATAAATAGCACTGATAAATAAATAACCTTTTCTGTTGATATGAGTCATAAAGAACACATGTACAGTATGCAGCTACTGCTACACACACACACACACACACATTCACACACACAGAGGGGTAATAGGATTGCTCTCTCGCTGACTTACTGGGGTGATATTTCTCCTGGGGAAGGCTGACTCACCCATGGGACAGCCAGCAATTTGTTGCCCTAGCAACTCACTGGCAACCGTAGATGTGTAGATGCTGGACCGCTGCACATACAGGTCTCTTAACTCTGTACATATACTGTGAGTATGTGTGTGTTTGTGCACACTTGTGCTTTGCATGATTTAGTTTTCTGGCTCGAGAGGCACCTCGCAGCTGCTATGTGGCGGCACTTTGCAAGTTCAGCAAAGTGCATGCAGTCTCATGCAAGTAGACGCCTACACACAACCACAGGCGCACACACACAAAGCTGTCTGAGAACAGATGGAGATGTTAGAGGTCCAGTGTTGTTACTTCATGCTACTTTAGGACAAGATAGACAGAGAATCTATGAATTCTTAATCTGTTATGTTACTGTAAATCAGTTTGACAATGTGAATATAATTGTGAGCTAGATCAGTGGTTCCCAACCTTTTTTGTCTGATGTACCCTCACAGTCCAATCAGAGGAGCTCAAGTATGGGTTCATTGACACACCCTTCATGTTCAAAATGTGTTTATTTAAATTGATTTTAAACATTTTGTTATTCAAAGGTACAGTGTGTAACACTGAGGAGGATCTGTTGGCAGAAATAGGCATGTTTTCATTAGTGTATAATCACTTGAAAATAAGAATCGTTGTTACCTTAGAATGAGCCGATTGTACCTACAAAGGGAGCGGGTCCTCTTCTATGGAGTCCGCCATGTTGAACCGCCATGTTCAGAATGGACAGACCAAACACTGGCTGTAGATTGGGCCTTTGTGAGTTTTGCAGCCACCGTAGTTTCTCCCTACACACTTGGAAGGCTGAGCTGTATTTAGATGGTTGTAATCTGCAGCTTCACCACTAGATGCTGCTACACACTGGTCTTTAAACACAATAATTATATAAGATTTGATATTGATAAAAATATTTTTATACAATTGAATCATCAATGTTTAGGTTGGTTTGGTCAAGTTCAGTTTCGTTTTAGCTGTTTCGAATGCTAATCCATAATCTTTAGCTAAGAATTTTAACCATTTATTAATTACTTTCAGCGATCTATTGTATTTTAATGTTTATCCTTTCATTTTAGCTCACTATTTTGGCCATTTATCTATTCAATTTAGATAACTGTTTTGAATTCCTTGCTTGCGAGGCAGGCAAGCCCCTCGCCCCCCTCCAAGTAACTGCAGAAGTATCACCTTGGTTACAAGCAGGGAACATTTAGACATTTAGATTTTTGTGTGTAGAATAAACTGTTACACTTGGGAGTATTATGTATTAACTCTTCTGCCTCTGTCTCTATTCTTGCAGGAATTTAGCTCTGTTAGCTCCCTACTCACTCTTTCTATTTGCACTGATCACAATCAGCTGAGCTGCCTGAGTAGATTTTTATCATTTTTCCCTTGTGTGAAATGAGCCCTTAGGTGCCGTATGTCCTCCTCTGTTTAATTACATCGAGCAGTCGGCACAAGCGATGCTTATATTCTAATCCCATCCACATCCTCCTGTTTTAAACCCCCATGTACCCGTCAGCTTCATTGTAAACGGGACTTCAAGGTTACCACACCAAACCCAGCTGATTGATTTATCAGATGTTTCCCCCCAGGCCCCCACCTCCCCTTCCGATAACTCCTCTCACGCCTCCTTCCTCCCAGCTTCCTCCATCGTTATTCTTTTTCAGGGTTTGTAGGGCAGCTTCTCTGCGAGATGACGGGCTGGTGTGTGTCAGGTTTAGCTCAGCCGTGCTTTTATATTGTTCTAAAATGTTAACGCTAAGTAGGTCAAACCGAAGACCTGGTTCAATCTCACCAAAATGAGCTCATGATTTCACATGTGCTCTAATTTAATGTGTTGGGCCTTGGGTCCGACGTTTACACCCCAGGGAACAATTGCTGTCACCTCAGCAGTACCTAATGAGGTCCCAAATAACCCCAAAAAATTTAAAAAAAGAAACACGTGTCATTATATAACAACTTAGGTGGTATTTTAAAACTATTGATAAATGTATGTGTCTTGCTGTGTGCTGTAGCCTTGAGAATTACAAAAGCAAATGCATGTTCTCATTAAAAGAACATTAGCATTATTCTTTATGATGCAAAAGAGTTAAAAAATGAATTTATTCAATGGAAGCAAATAATGTTACAATTCAAATACCACTTAATAAAGGAATGCACCAATATCGACACCAACATCAGGTCCAATACCATCTTCGTAATTGTAAACATAAAACTACTCCGATACTGCACATGATAGCACGACATGTCATAACATTACGTAACCTCTTGTTAGTTGAGCAGGTAGGTCAGGCGAGTCAATGTCAGCAGTTTGGAGATATTTTAAGCAACTTTTACAACAACATTAACAACGTTACATTTGTTGTTGTAGTCAGAAAGTGAGGAACTGATCTGATGAAATGTTTTTAAATTCATTGTTCGAACCATAATGGTATTATTAAGTACTCATACCGGTACTCGGTTTTCAGAAAACCGCTGCCTGTGGTGGGCGAAAACAATGAGAGCAGTGAGAGTGAACCAAAACAGTAAAGAAAAGGCTGGAAAACCCAAACAATGAGTTCAAATTCTATAAAGCTTTGTAGAGCTGCAAGGAATTGCAGAGCCTCTGTGTATTTGTCGCTATAAGCGGTCCCTTTTACAGATTTAAGTGTACATTAAGTTGCTCACATAAGAAAGAACATGGGTTGCCAGCTCTACCAATTGAGCTAACCGGGCGCCTGACTGAGCCAGTATTGATAATTAAACCTAATCCTTCTGTCATATGGAATTCTGCAATTGCAATTCTGTCACTATGACCTAATAACAGTGTTACAAAACAATAAGGTATTCAGTCGCTACTCACATTAGTAGCTAGACACGATACATTTAAGTTACATTTTATGGTTAAAAAGAGAAAAAAAATATTGATGAAATGTGTATTTGATACGTGAACTGAATGGTACAAGAGTAGAAGCAATGTCGTGCATTTGTATGTACTGTGAGGAGGGTAGAAATCGTTTTTGTGCAGATTTCTGGGCACTCTTGGGAGCCGGTGACTTTTTGCCAGAGAGAACAGCAGCTCGGGCTGCGGCTGCAGAGGGTGGAAACTCTCCAGTTCTGCTGCTAGCTTTGCTGGACTCAGACATGTGGGAGATGTCACAGCTGATTTTAGCTGCAGAGGAGAAATGTCCAATTTAGACACGGATGTCTATGGTGCAGTCAAGTACAATAAAGTGCAAAGAGCATGCACTCTCCTTTTTACAAAACTAAATGGACACTTAAATCACAATATGCGTCCAGCCGAGAGCTCCTGAAATCCTGCTGAGATTTACCAGCAAGATAGAATTAGACAGAAACATTTTAAAAGCAAAACATTTGTCCACCCTTCTAACCACATCGTAACCTGAATTACATGCTGAGATGCAGAGAAAAGTGTGTTGTGTTAGAAAAAATGCACAAAAGAAATTGCGTCAGTACCATGACTCATTGGGTCCCTTTGAAAAACACTTCACAAAAGAACAGATTCACACATACTGTCAAAAAAAACCCTCCCAAAACAGCAAACACACAAAGAATAAAACATGCACTTAAAGGGCTATGAAAAATAGGTTTGGCAGTTACTTTATATTTGCTTTAAAACGGCACAGTATGATTCCCTGCCTTATTAATGTCAAGTTGTTTTGTCTTTCACCTTGTCAGCTTGTTTAAATGTTTAAAATGATTTTGAACTCATACTGTATATGAGAGGCAGGATTTGGATGCAACCTGGAAGGGAAGCGGTTCCTGAGAGATGTGATTCAGGGCAAATTATCCCATAACTCCCCTGTGTTCATTGAGTTTGTAGTGTTTGCACATGATAGAAGCACATTTATTGTGCGTTGTCTTAGCTTGGTCTCAAGTGACTCAACACAAGGGGACATATTTATAGATTCCATCCAGTTTTTTTGAGGTACCAAAACTTTTGAAGTGTAAATGATGCCCTTAGCTATAATGACATTACACAAAGTATATTTTAAGCAAGTTCATTTTATATTCTTTCATCATAATATATTAATATCTTGATTATTTTATCAGTTAATCAAATAATTGTTTTGTCTATAAAATGTCAAGAATTCCTTGTTTTGTCCAACAAATAGTCCAACATCAAAAGATTTTTTTTATTTAGGATGATTCTGAAAAAGTGAAAGTTGCCAATCATCACATTTTAGAAGATGTAGTCAGTGACTTCTTGGTCTTTTTGCTCAACAAGATAATTAAACGCTCAATATTTATCATCATTGTTGACTATTTCTTAAAATATGATCACTGACTCAGTGTTTTAGCACTATTAGACAATGTAAAATGTCAAAAGAAAATTCCTTAAAGGCCATAAGCATAGGTGAAATGAGTTTCAATAAAATTGTCTGAGAATTTAAAACTTCAATCAAGTAGCAAAACTCCACAGTACCGTAATTATTTAACAGAAGTGTGTTTAAAATGTAATATGTAATAAAAAATGTTAGCTATTGACGACTACAAACAATGAAATCCCATAATTTACTGAGCTGACCTCTCTGTTTAATGCACGGCGAACGTGGATTTCCTGCCGTGACTTCATTAACACAGAGCCTGTTTGTGTGCAGGGTTTGTACCCGGGCTCAGAGGAGGGCTGGCAGGTGTACAGCACAGCTTCAGATCCTGACGGCAGGTGTGTTTGCACGGTGGTCGCTCCGGCACGGAACCTCTGCAAACGAGACCCTCGGAGTCGACAACTTCGCCTGCTGACTGAACAGGTGTGTGCGTGTGTGTGTGTGTGTGTGTGTGTATTTGTTTGTGTTTGTCTGACTCTGAGTGCATCCGTCCATGTTTCAGTGGTCAGCATTGCGATGCAGCACAGGGGAGAGGCAGCGTACTGGAATGAAATATTCACTGGACTGTCTCTTTGTTTTGACACTTGCAGAAACACACATGAACAAACACACACACACACATTTAAACTCAAAGGAAACCACCAGACATGAGTGGGTGGGAAAAGTACACTTGCTTGTCTCTTATTGCCAGGGTGCAGGCGTCCTGTAGAGTAGTATATGTGTTGGTTGAACATGCAGCTGAATGGCGTCCTATATGGTGTGTGTGTTTGCTTTATGTGAGGATACTGCATCTGCTGCATAAGCACATTTTTCTCAGTGTATATGTGTTCCAAGGTGAAACGACAAAGATGAATATATGTTGACAGAAGTTGATGAATATTGAACGCGATCAGACCAGCAAACATTCCCAAAGCCATGCACAACTGC